TGGAGGGTGATAATACCATTAGATTTAAGGAATTAAAAATACATGAAACTTTTGAGTTAATGAACAGGGTCCTTAACTGCTCATTTAATTCAAACAGCTGTTTGTTAATGCCCTAAGCAGTGTCATAAACTGTGAAAATACTGTTGAGTGCAAGACACTACTTAATGCTATAAAGCAACACATGCTCTAATATTAAAAGGATTTAATGGGATTAATAGAGAATAAAACATTAACTCCCTATTATGATGTTTTTAGGACCCAAGGGCAAATTCTGGCTAAAAAGGACTCTGGTTCTAAAAGCACAAAAAGTAAACTATGGCACTGTACAGCAAATCATGGCAATTTTATGCTCCTGAAAAAAGTGGAACCCTGATAAGATCACATCTGTTCCAATCACAGACTGGATAAAATCACTGTTTACTAAAGTCCTAAATAACGAAATATGTGGAACCCCAACAAGATCCCATCTGTTAAGACTACAATTTGGATAAGGTCCCATTACAAAAATTTCTATATGATAATATAATCATTACAAAAAAAATGAAAAAAAATGTTTTTTTTCAGTTTCACCAATTTTTTCAGAGGAATATATAATATTGTAAAAACCCTACAGCATAAGATTAGCTTGATGAACATTAATAACGTACTAGGGTCTGTATCATCAATTCTAAAACTGCTCTTAGTGCATACAGCTAAGTTAGCTATATAACCTCAGTCATGTGTTCTTAATTCTAGTTATTACAAACACATCTATTCAACATTTTTTCATCACCCATGCAATGACAGTTTTCATATTCAGTATATGCAGTTCATATGTAAATTACAAAAGTTAATTATTTGCTATAATGACTGCTAGTTTTTCTGGTATTGTTTTGAAAGACTATTTGTCCAATAAAAAAAAATCAAAGTAAGATAAATACCTTTTTTAATTGCAGCACATTTGAAAATTCATGGTAATAATGGAATTCAAAAAAGTTAAAAGTTGATACAGACTTAATATATAAATAAAGTCTGTATTAAGTGGCCAGCATTTTAAAAAATGCAGAAAAAAAGAATTATAGATTTGGAATTTTTTGTAAACGTTAAAGAGAGGACGGTCATATACCACTCTTTCAGGTATTATGGTCCTTCAAGATGATATTAATTGCTTTAGGAAGTATTTCAATCTTTAAATCAAAAAAATAGTAATATCAACTAAGAAATAAAACTATAATTCTTTGGTTTATACCTGAATTTAAGATAGTTCAAAACCTTATTGTTTGTAATTCAACCACTGAGAGTTGATATATTCATCTAGAGATTTCAGATAATTACTACAAAAAATCATAAGGCCTTTCTTAAGGCTCTAGTCCTATGCATTCAATCAAGTGCTTACTGCTAAGCAAGTAAATAACTTTTCGTGGTGAACATAGCTTAAAATAAATAAGTATCCATCCACTCCAGTCACAAAGCTAAGCAGAGAGTAGAGCCCTCGTTTTTAATAAAGGTGAGTAGTGACAGCCACCAAAAAGCTAACGACAGATGTGAATGCTTAACATTTTCACTGAAGTTCTTCCAGAACACATATTATTTGTTCTTAAAATCGCAAAAAAAGAAAATAAATTAAGAAAGACATATATCCATGGATTAAGAATCTCCTATTTCTTACAAAGTAATTGCCCTCAAGTAAAGATTGTGCTGAAATTTTCATATATGACCCTTGTCCTTGTAGGCTAGGATAAAAACATAGCAGTAATTTAGAGAGGGGGAAAGGGCAAAGGAACAAACCAAGAAATATAGTTTTTCGCATTCAGACAAATTCGAGCTATTTAGAAATACTAGTCAAAGTATTTTGAAAAACCCAATTTTCCCTGTACAGTAAACCTACTTGTACAAATGTAAATCTACTTAAAACACATTACTACAAATATATTTATAATAAAAGGCCATAATCCTTTTTGGCAGGTAAAATCATACACATACATGGATATTTTTATCTATAAACGTTCTTTTCCATTTAGAATACAGGATTCAAAACATTTCTCCTACTTTTTGTTCCTGGTATTCTTTTTGCAGCAGAAAACCTGCTTTTGTATCACTTCTCTAATAGTGTAAAACATCTGCAAGCTGGTTTCTGAATCAAAATATCTGCCTCCTGTATGAACTTGCCCTCAGAAGCTACTCCCATGCATTTTGGGAATCTACTCCTTATGATGCAGATTCGAGTTTAGTGGTCATCACTGTAAGCACTTACAACGTGTTGCTACAAGAAATATTTGCCAAATGTTTGTACACATTCTGAGGTTTTGCAGTGCAGAAACAGTGCATTAAATGCATGGCAATTTTATAGTATTTATGAGAAAATTTTTCACACCTTTCCCACCGAAGACTACAGTAATACAATGTCACTAGCTCTAAGTTTTCCTTTTTTTAAAAAAAAAACCTAAGATTATGCCCTCAAAATTTCCTACTTCAGAGTAAAGAAGTGACTTAGTATTGCTTCCATCTGCATAGAAGTAATATTTCATAGCACAAGGCTTCCAAATACATCTTTTTTCATGGCAGATGTTTAGTAGTGCTCATTACTGAGGAACAAGTTAGATTTTTGAAAATCACCCATTTAGTTGTAAGTCAGAATTCAAGTCATCCTAAAATGAACATTTTTTTCTCATTACCTCTCAATTCTGACAGCATGGAATTGATATCTCTTAATCCTTTTTTATTATTATTTTTTAATTCTCTAAAAGAAAACTTCTTTCAGCTCTAAACTAATCTCTTACTTGTTTCAATATATGGTCACTCTTTCTCCTGTGGCCAGATTTGTGAATATTCTCAGTTTATGGAATGCCTTAATGGTTTTGTCTATGAAGTTACTTTGAAGTTACTTTGTCTATGAGTTACTTTCAGAAAAGGTTCCACAGGCTTTTTTTTCGAATATGACTTTAGAAGACAGTGAGCAAAGTAAACTTACTTCTTAAACTTGGGAAGATGCTTTGGCTCAGTTGTGTAAAGCTTAGAAAAATGAAAATGAATGGTGCTTTCTTGAGATCTATCTACCAGGGCATCTGGAGACATATAAGCAAAACATCATCTTGGAGTTGAAGTTCAGTATAAAGGATAAACATCCTCTTATATATGGGAAGCAGTAGATAAATAGATAAGACTGGTGTTAAATAAGTCATATCTGAGAAGTAATTTTGCGGTTGAAGTGAAATTAGGTAGAAATACCAAGAATACCAAGAAGCATGAGAAAGAAAAGAAAAAAAATATCTTTTCCTTAAGGTAAGTCTGAGCTAACAGGTGAAAGAAACCTTAAGAAGAGAGACAGAACTGGACTGAAAGACAGACAACCAGTTCTTAAGAATTCAGAAAAGGAACCCATACACTGAAACGTTACCCAGAAGTGAAAAGGGACAGCCTGTACATCCTGGATTACTGAACCAAGGCTGAAATGGTGTAATCAGAAAATGTACAGGTCTTTATGACCAACTTTTCTTCGTTCAGACTTAATATGAGGAACTCTGAGAACCATTTAATTTAATGAGGAATGATTGGAAGAGAAAGACAGACTTAGTCTCTTTTGGACATTGACCTAGAATTGAGATTTATGCTATGGCGAACAAGTGATAAAGCTCATTCCTGTTAGGAAAAACAACTGCAGTTGACACAGACATTGATAAACAGGGAGAGATAACATATCAGAAGGGAAAGGTAGGGGAAAACAATCTTCCTTATATCCCACATCCTTAATTTTCCTTACCATTTACTCATGACAATAAGATCAGGTATCTAAATATGATATTTTAAAAACAAGCAAATTAAATATAAACACATGTATTCAGCCATTCACAACCTCAACACTAATTATGGCAATCAATGTCACTGTATGAAAAATTGATACTACCAGAATTTACCTTGGAATAAAATCTGCATAGAAGTGACGAAGAGAAACTTCATGGAATTCTAAATAGTTAATCCAATCAACAGCAATTCTTTTATCATTTCTGCTGAAAATTGATGTGTTCTGAATGTATTTATATACTTAGAAATCTTTATTAGCCTCTCTCATCCTTTTAATCATTCCCCTCGTTTATGAGTAGACAATGTTGCTCACTGAATACAGCTTGTATCACATAAAACTATCCCAATAAAACTGCCCTACCATCATGCAAATCCTTTCAGAAAGGATTTTACAACTATTAGTAATCATTTTGGTAGTTGCTACAACTGTCTAAAAGGAAATAAAGGGAAAAATATGAAAAAAGAAATGCAGAGGCAAACAATGCAAAACCACTTCCTCAAGGTAATTCCCACACAATCTCTTAATTGATAAAAAAGTGTGAACTAACCTCTTCCGCCCGTGATAGGGACCTCAAACATCTCCCCTAATTTTGAAGCCCAACCAATATTTTGTACATGCCCTATTGCTCAGAATTTGTAAACAATGGACATTTTACCTTTCATGATAACCCACCAAATAGCAACAATCTAATAATTGTAAGAACACAAAATCACACATATTTTCCTAATTTTTCCATATTTTCTTATAACATTTTCCTTTTACAGCTGTCATTATTTTCATCATTTCAAGCTAGAACTCATGGTCATACTGTGAGTGAGTACAAAAGTAGAAGATAAACCCAAACACTTCAGTGAAGATTTACAAAGGATAATGTATCATGTAGTAACACATTTATAGCAAAAATGATGTCAAAGCTCTAAGTTCAAAACACCACAGGCTAACAGACATCAGATAATTTACTAAATTTTACATAAATGAATTCAGTACAGGGTAGAAGATATCACAGCTTTCTTCACAAGAATAACCTCTGGCATTAAAGGATCAGAAGGGCCCTTACCTAAGGATGGATTTTTTTAACTGAAGTGGTATTAAGACCTATGCCATCTTTGGCCATCCATTAAAGTCCAAAACTGGTCTGAACTGATCTGTTCAATAGGAGCATATAGGTTAGAAAAAAAAGAAACAATGTCTTTTAAGTCACTAAAAATGAAAAGATTGGTTAGTTATAGATGTTGAGACTATGGACTTTAATTATCTACAAAACTAGTGTTATCAATAATTCAGATTGTTGCAATCCCATCACATAATAATAGTAATACGTGCTGTTTCTGCTCATGCTTTTTTGATTTCTTAAAAATACTTTAAGCTAAATGGCTGATTTGTTAAAATTACAATTCTTAGCATGTTAGAAAACATTGGTTTTTGTCTCTGTGTAATGCTTAATTTTTAAGTTTAATTTTCAGTCAATGCTACTCAAGAATGTAGACGCTAGGAAAGGTGAAGAGAAGGAGGGATATTAATAGTCATTAATTTTGTCTCTAAACAATGAGGCATAGCCTCCCAGTTTTTATCGCTGCTGTCAAGACAGAATACCAGAACCTTGCCTTCAGAGGGATACTGTGCTGCCACATTCACTCATACACAAAAAACAGTATCAATGTTGGTTACAATAATGGAAAAGCTACAGACTGTTAAGATAGTTTGAACTTCCTATTTAGAATCCTTGGTAAGCAAGCCCAAGATAAAGCGGGACCTTTACTATAGATATTTATTTATTTTGAGGGTTAAATATGAATAATGCCATAAGTTCTTCACTGAAAACCTGAAAATTAACAGTCTTTACTGATTTAACACTAACGTTTTGAGTTTGCTTATTCAGTTATATCCTCAGTAGGTTAAAAAATTTCAAAAAATATTAAAAGAGGAGAATGATCTGATAAAGAAGATGAAAAAGTTAACAACGTCGCTTACTGTCAGAATTAGAAATCGGCATTCATAGACTTGCAATACACTAGTTGACAACAAGCTAGTATCAACATCGGCTACAATAAAGGAAAAGCTACAGACTGATAAGATAGTTTGAGTTTCCTATTTAGAATCCTTGGTAAGCCCAAGATAAAGCTGGACCTATAGATATTTATTTATTTGGGGGGTTAAATATGAATAAAGCCATAAGTTCTTCACTGAAAACCTGAAAATTAACAGTCTTTACTGATTTAACACTAATGTTTTGAGTTTGCTTATTCAGTTATATCCTCAGTAGGTTAGAAAACTTCAAAAAATATTAAAAGAGGAGAATGATCTGATAAAGAAGATGAAAAAGTTAACAATGCCGCTTACTATCAGAATTAGAAATCAGCATTCATAGACTTGAAATACACTAGTTGACAACAAGCAAAATCTATCCATTAAGTAGACTTAGAATAATTTTAATCCTGGTTTTCCTCTCTCATCTTGGATAGTGTTAGGCAAAGGAAGGAAAATAAAGTTTGTTTTCACAACAGAGAACTAAATGTTTGCAGAGACTCCTTCTCTGGAGATCTTCAAACCCGCTTGGACGCAGTCCTGTGCCACGTGCTCTAGGTGACCCTGCGTGTGCAGGGGGTTGGACTAGATGATCTCTAGAGGTTCCTTCCAACCTTAAGCATTCTATGATTCTATGATACCTTCATGCAGTATTATAAAATTTGGTCAAGATTTAACTTAGCAGAAAGGAGTGGAAAAATGAAACAGGTTCTCAATTTCCCAGTAAACAGCACAGTCAGCAATCTTATGGAACCATCTAGAAACAACTACATTCTCAAGAGATTGATGTTGAATAGAGGGACTTACTTGAATACTACGGCATGTAAGTATTTATCCAAGCAACATGTATCACGCATACCAGTTCCTAATTTACTAAGCCAGATAATAACCATTTCATGTATTGTCAAATGCTCTTATTCTTCTCAGGTAAACAATATTTTACTTAGTTCTACTTTATCAAACCCTAATAAGGTCACTAGCTGAGTAAAAGGGTTTTTTTTCTTCAATGAAAATGGTATGAAAAGGCATTGACGATAAATTGAAGAGTAGGCTTAAAATAGTGAATTAAAGAGTAGGTTGAAAACAAAATAGTAAGACCTCTTCTCCTGACTACAGGAGGAAAGATCTGTTGGTTGGACCTTCTCAGTTTTTTACTATTGGGATGCGCAAAATCTGGAGTCACCTGGAAATGAGTTTTAATGTATGAAGTTCTGAGATTAATCTCATGCAAGACTAAGTAGAATCTCTGTCAGTTTGGCAGCAAAGAGCCTTCACATGTTTGGTTGCAGAGGTACTTCATTTGTTAGATGGGATAGCTTGAATAGTTGCATGACAGCGCCTTTGTACTGATCTTGAATGGCACAGATTAGGTTCAAAAACTTAAATAATATTTGTAGGTTCCAGGTTTAATAGTATATGTTAAATGAAAAAAATCACCTCTTCAAAACTAATGACCACAAGAGGAATTAGATTCAGGAACCAATGCATCTAACCTGGCATATGAAATACTTTTAGCAGAACCCATAGAATGGAGTTAAGATTGGGATATCATTAAAATATATTACATATTCATTTAAATTATCTGAATCACTTCCTTAAGAGTCATTTTTAGCAACTTTTAGTTGAATCACACTGTAAGGGTTTCATAAATGGAAATGTCCAAAGGTAATAATTTTCCAGAAAAATAAAGAAGCCAACAAGATACACAACTGTGCAGCAGAAGCAACCAGTGTTTCAACCGATACGTTGTCTTGCCAGCTGGCGTTCAGCGGGCCAAAAGGATGGACTTGCCAGATACAGCAGTGCTAATTTTCTAGCTGCTTTAGAATATCCCAGCCTGTACTCCCAACTCCTCGAGGTCAAATCATCACTGGTCCCTGCTGTGATACTTAAGAGGAGAAAAAAAAAGTCTATACATTCTGAAAACATCCCAATTTGAACCAATTTGATTACACACCCATATGATCAGGGCCTTGCCAAGACATTTGACAAGACTCCACTTGTCAAATTTTATGCTAAATCAATAATCGAATAGAGATGCATAGTAACATATCCAACAAACATCTCGCATTAAGTAAATCTCAGTGCAAAACAGGTTGAAGAAATATTTTTATGGGCATCCTACCAAGATGATGGAAATCCCCAAACACAGCCTTAAAGGAGTAATCTTAAAGAGAGACTACTGACAAAGAAATGTAATATGGAAAGAAAAAGAATTTTGCTTACTGAATCTACAAACTAGAAAAACCCTTATTATAGGGTATTTTCCTGAGAATCACCTTTACACATAAGACAGAAAAACCTCAAGTCATGTACAAATTATGTACAGAAGACTAGCCTTGGCTAGAGGCAAAAGATTTATGGTGCATTAAGCCTACATCTAAATTTTAAAGTAAAAGTTCACAGCCTCTTAATAAGCAAAATCAATGAATAAAGTGTGTTTTTCACCATGGCTTCTGTGTAGACATCTAACAGCAATGATAAGCTCTGTGACAATTTAGTTTTCTTCTTGCAAGGATATTTACACATAACTGAGCGTAAGGTAGCTTCAAATACTGACAGATTGTACCTATGGCATTTCCTTGGCCTTGCGGATACTGTAGACTGCTTTTTTCATAACTTCACCAAATACTTAAATGTATATGTTTTGAATATACATTGAATGAAATAGTCAAAGACTGAGCCTTCTGAAACATCACAAAAAAAAGAGCTGAGTCTCTCTTCTGTAGTGACAAGCAAAGAAATAAGTACACATCAATCTTTCAATATATGATATTGATCTACAAAAATTCTTTAAGTTCATTTACATTTTAATCATTAAATGTACACATATCACCCGACACTTATCAGAAGAGAACATTTGTCAGTTGATATGTACAAAGTATTCCTCAAGATGCATCCAGACATATATTTACTTTTTAAAGCAACAGCAACTTTTGTAGAAATATGAAACAAATGGTGGCTCATTCTATCAAAAATAGTTACTCTAAGCTTGCAAATATTTTATGAATTGCTGGAACTAAAATCAATGATATCTGCATTGGAAAATGTATTTCATGGGTATTTCATACGCTATTAAGAGCTGTTCTATCGCTTTTGTTGTATAAAGAGAGAGGTTGCTGAAATCAAGTTTGAATTCTTGTGAAGTGGTGACTACAAATAGTTTTGAAGCAGAATATTCTAAGGAAGGGTATCTTCCTTAGATCTGCTGAGCTAGACACAAATACTCAAAACCGCAATTCAGCCAAGAACACCAGTTCCAGTGTTAAAAAGCATTTGTTTCTTGTAACAACTGAGAGATGTGGATATTAAAATCATTCCATAGTAACTCGGTCCAGTAGGACTCTTTTGTGCATAACATAAATCTTAAAGTTTAAGGCAAACAGTAACCTTAATATATATTAATATAACCTTAATATATATTAATAATGTATTTATAGATATGCATAATATGGTTGCAAAAGAAGAATCAGTATTTTGGAAGGCACATCTGAGAGAGATATATGGTAGGGGTTTCAAGGCCCTCTTTCTTTCGAGTAACTTGAAAGTTAAATAGCTTTTTTTCTCCCCAATGAAAGACTTAACTAAAATAAGCACTATGAACAAATCTCCAACTGTGAACTAATTAAAGACAATTTCCTTTCATGGTTTTCCCCCTAAGTGTCATTTGTGATTTTATTTTGTTTTCCCAAGGTTTGCCTAACTTTACATATCTGTCTTCCATAAGATTAATACAGATGCTAATTATTTAAACTACTGGACAATAAAAAACAAACCTCAGAAAGTTAACATCATTTATTAACAATCTTCAGTATAGAAACCCCTACCTGACTGACATCAATCATGAAAGCAGAAGAAGACACCAGGTTTACAATCCAAAGCACTTTTGTTTGTCACCTGTGTGGTAGCACAAAGTGGTCATGCAAACATATTTAAAGCAGAAGCATTTCATAACTCCCACCACAGCTGAAAATATTTTCTATAGGGAACAAAGACTAAGAAAAATCTACCATTAGGGAAAGCTAAGAATCTTATCAGTTTATACTGATACTGCTTACAAGTGAAATAAATTTTAGTGATATCTTCAAACATTTATCAACACAATTTTACCAAACTTTTAAAAATTAATAATAATTATTATTACCCATACTCATTTTCACATATAATGCACTAGATCAGAAACAGGACCTAATATAGAAAAGCAAAATACAGTCTTAGAAAGACTCAACATCTATGCAAAACATAAGCTTAGTTATTCCCGGTGCCTTAGCTCCAAGGAGGAGGCTTATGAGCTGATAACCTAACAGTATTTCTTTGTTATGACTGGTTGAGGACATCCAATTGTCATACAATAATTTTCAGTAATTAGTATACATATTAGAAGTAACTCATCTTTTCACAAGAACAATGTTCTTTTGGATAAACAATAGCTTCTGCAACACTAAATTATAGAGGCCATGTTATTAATTTATGGTGGGTTACAATTATACATGTTGTGGGCCACAAGCACTCTGTGGGCTGTGTAATGAAGGCCAATATGTTAAAAACTGATTAGAATTACAAATAATCTGCCAGGTGTTTTCATCACTATTATAGAAGACAGTGCTATCTAAGTCTTGAATCTCTAAAGTTATTCTGAAAGCAAATATTCAAATATATTCTGAAAACTGAACTCAAATCTGCAGAAATATCTTTTTCAAAATGAGTGCTGTTTTTATGGCTGATCAAGAATAAAGGAAATACAGCAGTGGCATTACCACAGATGTTAATAATATTCTACTGGTCTTGTAAATTTGCTCCTCTTAAACAATATGCAAGATAGTTTGGGGGCAAGCAAGATCACCATGAAGTAAGAATAATCACACAGAATATTTCACTGGATAGCTGGAATGATCTAAACTTATATCAAAAAACAAACAAACAAAAAAAGAACAACAATGGAATTATAACTTTCTGTAATACATTAGTATATGAAAATTATAAATATCCTTTTTAAACAAATTTAGAGTAAAACAAGGAAGCTCCTAAAGTCCTTTTATTTTCTTCCCATGAGAATTGTAATGCAACATTTTTAGACCTACCTAAGAAGAAATGATGCATTAATGCAGGTAATGGCTATCTGTGATGTAAACAAATCTACAACACTACAGATTGTAGACAAATCCTAACCTCTCAGGCCTCAGCTATTAAAAAGGAAGCTATATGAACAATAAACGGCTTTGTAGATAATACTTACATTATCTAGGACTGGCTATGGTGATGTAAGCAATATTATTTATTTTGCAATAGCTCTAGACATTATTAGATAAGAAAAGATTTTTGAGGACACAAAAAACTAATCTGGCATTTGCAAAGAGAAAAAATATGGTATTATGGATATTAAACATTAGCATTGAAGCAAAGGCTTCTATTACAGTACAGATCATAAAGGTACTTTTACAGGAAAAATAGAGGTGTTAGACTTGACTTTGACTTGGCATTTTTTTTTACAAATACCAGGCAAATGAAATTTATCAACTAAAAAAAATTATTTATTTTGAATGGGTACTAATGTTAAATTTCAATTTTTACTGTGCTTTTAAAATTTTCTGCATATAAATCACTCAAAGGGCATCTAAGAAGAAAGATCTTTTAAAATGTTTTAAACTATTTTGTGATATTTAGATTTTCAGTATTGAATAATTCTGTTTTATACTTTTTTTTTGGTTATTTAAGCTGCTGGTATATACAATAGTATGCGCTATTACTATATTTTGCTCTTGTAAATTAACAATGTGGATATACATCTTTAAGACCATCGGTATGCTCTGTATGAACAGCTATTAGCCTGGATTCACCACATAAATCACAATTACATTAACATACATACCTACATGTGCGTATATATATAAACACATAAATGTATATGCATATGTATGTATGCATATGCGTGTATATATGTACATGTGCGTATATACACATTATGTATATACGTGTATCTATATGTGTATACAAATATGTGTATTTATATATTCATTTACATAATTTTCTGTGTGTGTATGAGTGTATATATATAAAACAAAAGATCATATGCTGATTATCTGTGTTAAATTTATCACTGAAATTTATAAATATTGATTTTAAAAGCCCAAAAGATAACATCCTCCCTTATCAGTGACAGATTTTGATCCAGCAAGTTTTTTTTAAAAAAAAGTATTGACTTGTCCAGTTCCGAAGAATATCACTATGCAACAGTGATTTTCTAAATCTTATTGCATCAAAACAATTGCATTTGTGGAAACTGAAGTGGAAAAGCTCTTAGGAATGATAAAAAGGAAACTGAGTACATGTTTCTGCATAAATGTGACACTGTAAATGTCTGATTTTTGCAACGTAATAAGAAAGTCCTTCAGCTTCATTTTGAGAACTATTTGTGCTTTTAACCAACTTGGCAGGATGAAGTCTAAACTTAGCTCTAAAGAAGTACAACACACACAATATTAAAAAAGTAACAATTTTTAAATAAGTGCTTTAAAACTAAGGTTATCCTAATGATAATGAGATTGTAAAGGTTTCAGAAAGGGAAGACAGAGACTTCATATTCTACAATATCTAAAAGATGTTTTGCAAAAATGAAATAGGCTTCATGGTCTTGAGCTTCTGTTAATTATTCTATAGATGACTTTCTTCAGCTATGTGAAATTTTAGGATTAGTAGAATAACTTTAGGATTAGTGGAATAACTTAAAACAAGTTAAAAAGTCAATAATAAATGCTCATCAAGAAAAAAAAGTCTTTTTTTTACATGTGTGTTAGCATAGATTGTCAGCTAAATGAATCTAGTTTTCCATTCTTTTGTTGGTCAGTAGGAATTTGGTCAGAGTTTTTAACAGGAAACGGATAAAAATCCTCTAGTCAGAGTAACCCTGCCCCGATCTACAACAGAATCCATTTCTATCAGATTTACTAAGTAAGTGAATTGATATGTACTTGATCTTCCATTGAAATCGATATCAAAACCTGTACCAATAAAAGGAAGAAAAGGCTCAGGATTTCAATTATATCTTTACATTTTTATAATCACATCTTTAGAACCACAAGTTTCCTATACAAAACTTTCTTTTACCTTTTATTTGCCAACCCTTTCTATTAAAAAATAATTTCCTTGTAAAATGATGTTTACCAGCACTGGACCATCCTTTTGCTTGTTGACATGCAGAATGATTTGCAACTACTTTAACCTCTAACACAATCAAACGGTAACAAAAATGTTTGACCAGCATTGCATCAGCTTCAAAAAAAAAAAAAAAAAAAAAAAGGAAAAAGGAAGGAAAAAGGAAGGTGCCTTGACCGAGGAGGGTATTATGCTCTAATTAAAAAAGCCAAAGATGAACTAAACAAAACTAAATAATTAGTCTTCTATTACCAGAACTTAGACTTGGCCAGCTACTAAAATCTATGCAAAATGTGTATTCAAATCACACTTGTTCGGTTTCTTAAAAATACAATTTCAGCTAATTTAACCATTCATTCCTCTTAGGGATACATTTTGCTGGGAGATTCAAGCTACTGAGTTAAACCTGAGTAAATCATGCAGTTAACTGATTTTTGATAATAGAAAATTTTGGCTCAGTGAAAATGCTTAGACTGTGGAAGTATAAAATACTGGTTGAGGACCAGCCACTTTTGCATTCTTATATCACATACACAAATCTCAACTAACCAACTTGTTATGCCCTAACTATCAGTACTGAAACAGTAGTGCTAGAAAATATGGCACACAAATCACAAATACACATAAATTATTAATTTCTATGAATAAGTCTGAATAGAATGTACTGGACATAAACAGAATGTAAAGAACATTGTGCCTCCTTCTTTGCAGGCACAAAGGATCATCATTATCAACTACTAAAACTAAAGAATTCTCAAGTCCTTTTTTTTTCATAAGCAGCAGTTTAATTTGTTTTGTACCAAAATAAGATGTATTAGTGTAGCAATTTATTAGGTCAAAATAATCCCTTATATTCCAATGAAATAATCTCTTATATTCCTGTAATGCAATTTGCGTCGCAGAAACCAATGTAATGTTAGTCAATGTCTACTACTTAATCAGAAAACTTCCAAAGAAGCATGGTCCTAAAAACCTAATTGTTCCTAGCTACAGCAATCAACACTCTCACATTCTTGTTTCAGATCCAGAATGGGTAGGAAAAGTAGAATATTCAAGATTTCTGTTTCTGTTCCAATCACCTCCTAGCCAGTAGGAGTGGCAATAATGCAGGAGGAGCTATGACTGATTCTTGTCACCTCACATATCTTCCCCAGCACCTAGAGAGCCTCAGGAAGGTCGACTCCATCAAGGTTAAGGTTTGCTTTGCTCTGCACTAAACAGACCAGGATTGGAAGCAGATACACTCGGGTGTTCAGAATGAAGTTGACACTGTGTAGATCAAAAGGAACACATCACACCAGTGCTGCATGGACTGACAATTCCATCTATTCCAGATCAGATTTCTAATTTTTACAGCCCTAACCAGGACAGGTGAACTTCATTTATCTGAGAAATTGTCTCCTTCAACGGCTCACCGTAATAAGATAGTGATGCTGGCTTCATATATCACAGATAAAGGTTTGGAATGAGGTTCTTTCATCCAAGCCCTCAACTATGGATTTCATTTGAGCTGCACAAAAATCCAGACAGACTTGCTCCTTGTCTACAGCTAACTCCATATTTATATATGAGAAGGCGCAGGACAACACAGTTCCATGATGACATCATATGTGACATGCCCTTTTAAATTAACAGGAAGCTAAAGAAGAGGATAAGAAAATTACGGTTCCTTCAGGATAACCCAATACCTTATCAATTTACCACCACGGTAAAATGAGTTTTAAAACACAGTTTGCAAATTCATATTAGACCTTTAATTCTTACCTCTTTCTCAAGACAGAAGTAAGGAAAAACTAGAACATAGCTCAAGTTGACTCCTGTCAACATATGATAATTTTTGCTGTTATTGTCTGACATCACTCGCCTATGACAACAGCTAGCTTTTAAACTGAAGACCCTTACTCAGGAGGTTAATACAAGGCAGGAACTCCAGTCAGTGGCATTTTGGCTTAGGGGCACAATGTCACAATTTGGTGCATCCTCTAATGACTTTTTTTTCATAAAGGCAGCTTCCAGCTTAGACCTAGTTCAGCGAATTTCCT